ACTACGACTACGGCTGCTGCTGCTGCTGCCGCTGCTGCTGTGGACACTGCTACTGCTACTGCTAGTACCACTACGACTACGACAGCAATCTCTGCTGCTGCTAACACCACTACCACCCAGATCTGGCGAGAATACAAACATCGCGCAAGTCGGCATAAAGCGTGGCTGTTGGCACCGTCGCCGACGAGCAGCTCGGTTTTCGGATTACCTCAGGTTGAGAGATTTCCACAAGGGTTCTGAATGTATGCGACTCACAGGACCATGGGGGTAAAACTCTAAATTCTACACCCTAGTGGCCCTAGTTTAAACCATGCCGGATGCAGATGCTAGTGGCCCTAGTTTAAACCGTGCCGGATTCAGATACGACCTGGCGCGACACAAGTTGAAACGGTCATTGCGGCTTAAGTGCTGACGGCAACGGCCACGTTAGGCATGTATTTCTTTGCGGCCTCCACCACATCGCCGTCAATTTCGCACCAAGTCACCTGTCTTTATAGTAAGAGCTATATTATGGTAGGCTGCACTGGCATTCTGGGTTTTGTGGAGCTTGCGGGCTGCATGCCGAGCAAACGCCTCATCAAGCAACAGCTCTTATTGAGTACTCTTCTGTAGCAATACTCATGAAGCAGACCATTAGATCCACCGTCATGACATAGCCTTCTCCACAGTGTCATGCTTCACCACTTCGCGAAGGACGCCTCCATCCCCACCTCCAATGATGAGAACCTTCAGGGACGTTCGGAGGGCTTGCAACTTGGCGGTGCTTTTGCTCCTTTAGGTTGTTTCAACTTTATGCGATTCAAAAATGGATGGGGGTGGGGTGGGGGGGCTCGGGCGCACATGCGTGGGCTTGTCCGCGGAGAACATGGGCAAGTGTGCCAGCATCTCCTGATATGACATTTCCTCAGACTGCTGCACTTCCGAAGTTGACTCCATGCGACGAGAACTGATGTGGATGAATATTGCGGATACCAGTGGATGCAAAAGTGATAGTCGTAACGATACACCTGGACAGTTGCCAAAGCGACACTACAAAGCTGTACTCAATCATGAAGAGAATACGACTGAACACGCTTGCTGCCAAGCCTGCTCGACAAGCCGAAAACTTAGCAGCCAAGATGCATCACGCTCTGTGATTTGTATAACTCCATCCTGACATGCTCTGCGCAGCGGATCCATGGAGATGAAGGAACTTTCTCACAACAGACAGCCGGCCAGTACGATCACGTTTCCGTGCTTCGCAGATGCCTCGTGTTCGGCCGCGGAGAGCGAGCAGAAGAGTCCAAGTAATTCGGATGCAGCTCTGTACATTGCGTGTCAAGCTTGAGAACATGGTGCTGCTAAAGAACGAACACCAGCAGATCTTGGAATTTGGTCTTCTTGTGCAGAAGTACCTCTTTCACCTGGTGCAGAGACTTGGGACACCAAAACCAACAAAAGGCCGAGAGGAGAGGAAGCAACGGAACGGTCAGATGATGGCCTCCAGTGCGTTGGCTTGACCGGGCCTGCAACACTGTGGAGGAGCCTTCTCACATCACGGCGTATGTCATGAAGAAGCAGACTCGGGGGCCCACCACTGAGCATTCTTCTCGATGAACCACCCGTTCTCAATCAGGCTGAGCTTGGTGCACATTGAGATTCGCAAAGAGCTGACACAGGCTGGTGCCCAAGGCAGCAAGCCATTTCGTCGACAGATGCACAGTCCGAGCCGGACTACGAGACACTGCGATTGCAGGCAGTGAATGTGGTATCAAGCGACCTTCATTCGTGTCAAGGGCCCACTGAGACATGTACACCCTGCAGCGGCGCTGACTCCGTCATGGCTCAAGGACCACCTCTCGGTTCTGTGCCTCTGTTGAACTGTCACTGAAGACAGCACGGTGTAGCTGCTCTATCACGCGCAATAAACATGCATGGAGGCTTTCATAGAAGATGCTCTGATCGACATTTCCAGAGTATAACCACATCCTAAACACCAAGCCCGGAACGGTTCCGGGTTCTCTGTCGATGCAGATGCCTGCCCTCAAGCTCCAAGGCGTGTGCATGTAGTGTCCAAGAGGGCTTCCCGGAGCAGCAAGCCAAAAGGTCACACACACAGATTCAAGCCGGATCGGGTTTTAGGTATTTGTGCTTGGGCTTAGATTTCGGGTCTAAGTGGCGTAGATTAGTTTAAGGTTTAGGGTTCGGGGTTTGGTCAATAGGAGGGCACAGCCTGAAACATCCCAATCAATTCGTCTGGTACCTAGGCCACCCATTATCTTTCGGAATCCGGATCCTCTGCTCATCTCTGCTCCCACCGTGGCACCAGAATGCGGATACTGAAGAGCCGAACATTTAATTGTTCAATGCGCGAGTCACCACTTGTCTGCAGAAGCACTGTTCAACGGCACCTTTTCTACGGTTAAAGCGATTTCTGCGTCCTGCAGCCTTACCATTAAGGGGCGCTGATTCCGCAGCTTCGGAAGTTGGTGCTGCTGTCGTCGTTGTTGTCGCTGCCACTGGTTCCACAGGCTCCGCCTTTGGCGAACACAACTTAAGTAACGACGCGGGCAGGGTCTGCCTGCGTCCACGTGCTACAGCTCAAGGCGCAATGCATAATCAGCCGTGACTACATAGCAGAATTGCAGAATCTGCAGCTGTTGCCGGCTGAGCTTGATCGAGGACAGGGCAGCCTTCTCTGGAGTGTGCTCTTGTGAGTCGGCATCGTCAGCCTGATCAGCATGACCGGACACATCATATATGATGTAACAGACCATATGTAAGTATAATTATAAAATGTCAACCTATATATATATGTACATACACACACATACAGATATGTATAGCTCTATGTATATACGTAGATATGTCTGTATCTGGGGACATGTGTACAACTAGATTTTATGAGCAAACAAGTACATTCATCTATATATATATATATATATACATATACACACACGTTATGCATGGTGCGTATGAACACATAAAGCAAAATATGCATACATACATACATACATACATACATACGTATGTATTTAATCTATATCTATATATATATATACATATACATGCCTATATACCTGCATGTGTATATATATATATGTGTACACATGTTGGTTGATATTGCTGTGATTTGTTTGGTCCAAGTGTTTCATATCACGTACGTGTCTTTCATACATCTGATACACATGATCAGCCGCCAAGGCCCCGACATGTCTCTGCCCAGCAGCAACTGCCTTCCGGGACTCCCTTCTCAGACTCAGACTTCTTCTCTAAGCAGGAAGACAAGGCCCAACCCTCAGCCAGGTGCTTGCAACATCCATCGAACTCTCGAAGCTCTGCGGCCTTGAGCTTCTGCAACATCTGCATGGCCTGCTGGCGAAAGCGGGGTGCCAGAGACAAAGGCCACAACGAGATGCTCTGTCAGGTACCTCCTCGTGATTCTCGTAGCTGTCGGCGATCAAGTCCATCAGAGTGGACACCTCACGAAATAGCATGATAAGACGAGAGATCAACAGATATAGTAGTAGTATATAGGCGATAGTTGTAGACATAGAGATAGGAAATAGCTACTACTGAAGCTGTAGCTATAGCTATAGATGTAGACATAGACATAGACATAGACACGGACACAGACATATAGAAAGAGGTAGATAGATAGATAAATAGATAGATAGACAGGTGGGTCTAGGTAGGCAGGCAGGCATGTAGGTAAGTAGGTACGTAGATGGGCGGATAGACGAACAGAGAGATAGATGGGTAGATCGGTAAGCTGCTAGACAGATAGATCGACGGATAGATATGACGGTATATAGTCCTGGGGGTATATTGACCATTTCGTTTGTGTGTGTATGTATGTGTATATATCGTATATATATATGCAAAGATAATGTCAACAGTAAGTGCAGAGTGTATAGTCAGATATGTGCGCATGCTGAGAGCCAGCCTCTGCTGGAGCCTCGAGTTGTGGCATGCAGACAACATCAAAATCTCGGGGTCGAGCACCGTCCTTGAACTCTGCATATTTCTCTTTGCCCATCTTCAGCCGCTGCTGAACGTCATGCCTTCGTTATCTCAGGGTTGAGGGGCTTGTGCCCCCTAAAATCTACATTTCCGCGATGATGGGGCGCGCAGACACGAGCACTAAGCAGCATGCAGCAAGCTTCCCCGATCATGGGCCATGAACAGATCTCCGATAGCCTCAGGGACGTAGACGGAACACCTTCTGGCGATGGCCGCATCAACCAGTAAAGTTGAGGGCGAAGCCACGTTGGAATGCTGCTTTCCACCAGGGAGCCTGACCTTGAGGTAGGCGTGCGACTTTTGCGACCTGACAAGGCCAGGAGCAGCCAGAAATCCAACGGGGATACTTGAGGCTGGCTGAAGCGAACATAATTCATGAAAGCCTCTGGGACAAGCTGCTGCTTTGCATCTATATAGAATCAATCATCCTCTAGTCCCACCTGCATCCCAAAAGCTCGCAGCCAAAGCCCCTAAATCCTCAAGGGAATGAATCTCTTTCAAGGTGCCGAAGCCCGCAAAGCAAAGGGCGAACCCCAGCGGTGCTGAGGCTCAGACAGAATGCTCTGCATCTCGCGAGCAACTCCCGGCTTGATACCATCAGGACCACCAAGGAGTAGAATCACAGACTCGATGTCCTGACAGGTCGGTTTGTGGCCTAAAGTTCGGCGGACGATCCACACGAGTGATCTGACACACCTGCTCGGCCGACGAAGGCTTCGGGTGGTTCAAGAGCTCATCTCCCGAGCCATCCAAATGCATAACCACGCACCTGAGCTGCTTTTGCCTAAACTTGCTCACAAGTCACAGCATGGAGTACCATTGAACGCTGAAAGACAAACCAAACACAAGACAACAAGACACAGTTTCGACTGCTCTAGCCTCAAAGCCACATTCCCCTGCTCTAGCCTCACCCTAAACCCTGCATTGCAAACCCTAAGCGAAGCTCTCCAAGCGCCAGGCTTCTTGCCGTTCTTCTGTGCCCGTGACTTGAGGACACCAGCCTGCCACCATAGCCAGCTCTGCCAGGTCATTTCATAGCCTGTCGGCGTGTGGGCTTGATCGGGATTCAATAGAGTGCTCTATAAGACTGTATAGGTTTTCCACTGGGTTTGGAGGTTTTGGCATCTTGGGCAAAGAATCTTCACGCTGACACAAGGGCTGGTCGTCGTAAAGATAACTGGATACCAACCGCTTGACAAGCGATACCATCTACGTACATAAACACACCTCTTGACCTACTTGCGATGATTGCCACGTCAATTGTGCCCGTATACATGTCTGATCACAGATGTCACAGACAAGGCTTTGCAAGAAAAGCCTGCGCACGCATGTACCGCAAAACTTGTCTTGACTGAAGGTGTGCCGAAACAATATGTAAACCTACAGGCGCCATTTGTCTGCGTGTGTGGGTGTGCTGTGGGCTGGGTGGATGTAGCGACGTGTACTAAGGTGTAAACTGCGCAAACATTTAGAGACAAATACATGCATGTGGACGCGCAACTATAAGACTGTATCCGGTGGTCTGATATCATGTGTATATATATATATTAAGTATTTACTTCTAATCTTTGGCCGGTATACCGGAATACTGGATGTATAGCAGACTCACTATCCTGCGAAATCATGTGCACCCGGCCTAAATTTTGCACAGATACCTCAGCGGGTCTCACGCACCCAAACATGAAACGACTGCGTGCATCACGATAGTACAGATCTCAGCTCCGCACGCCAGGCTCAAGCTTCTGTGGGGTGCCTGCCAGTAAGAGCGGGGAAGTGCCCGACTCTTGCTATCCACCCCAAACCCTTAAGAACTCTCGCCGCCAATGGCCATTCGTTTACTGGCTGTAACGAAACATGGAGTACAGCTTGAATTTTAAGTATCAGAAACAACCTCCTTAAACAGGCGCAGTCATGCATAATCACGACATGAAGCAAGAAGTGTCGCAAGACGAAGCGCTGTGCCCACACCTTTACACCCTCAACCCTAAGCTCTATCAGCCGGAAAACCAAACCCAAAAGCCAAAACCACAAGGCCTTGATATATGGACATGGCTGTGCCGAGAACCACAGCCTCTGTCAGGGCCTGTCAAAACGAGAAATCGGGGGTCTGTAAGGGTTTCCGTAAGGGGATACTATGAGGGGTTCCACGGGTTTCTGTACGGATATATCAAGGGGGTTAGTATTAGGACTACTATATCATGCATGGGGTACGATAGGGGTTTAGAAATGTTTCTATACGGGTGAATGTAAGGTTGCAGGGATTGACGGTGCCTTCAGGGTTTGGGGGAGTTGGGAGTTTAGGATTTCAGGGTGTGGGATTTAGCTATTGATTGGACGAGGCTCAGCAGGCATATGGATGAGGCCAAAGGACTGACATCCAGAAGTTTACAGAGTGTTTCCTCTAGACTGTGGTCAAGATTTGTGATCAACAGCCTTCGTCCTCTTCTTGGACAGGTACGCCGCGAACTTTGGCAGGCTGTAGGATACGATTGTCCCTGACATCTTCCAAAAGCTCTCAGCTCTACGATTGTCCCGAAGACCACAAGTCGGTACTATAAGCGTGTCAAAAATGTACTAGAACTACTGTATGGGCTGCTCTGACTGATCTACTACAGTACGTGTAGTTCACTTCAACTTGACGGGCTGCAAGAGAGCCCAGGTCATCCTGCCCACAGACGCCACTTTTACTTACCTGAGAAGACTTGAAGCCTGAAAGCTGACGGTACCAACATCCCGGGACCCTCACAGCCTGGACCCTGAAACCCTGAACACTGTCAGTATGCTTAAAGGAAGTATATACCTCTATAGTCTTATAATTGTCGTTTTACTTATCCTGATGTATGAGGTTCCTCCAACGAGGAATCTGTAATTCTGGGAAGCAATATTCAAGCACTACCGGTTAAGAAAGTGTGTGTGCTGCATAAGGGCACGAACCTACAAACCAGGCTGCAGGAATTGTGTCTTGTCACCACCCCTTTGGCTTCCACCATGAATGCCCGGCGGAAACTACCCTAAACCCTGCAAGCCCTATGTTCTTGTAGTTACCCAACAGAGCCCCTACCGCACGCCTGAAGCACCGGTATAGTTATCCTTGCACTACCTAGTACCCCTCGCAGCCAGGCAGCAGGGGGAAACGCACCAGAACTCGGCGACCTCCTCACGGAAGATCTCGCCTTCCTGTCTATAGTATAACTTATCAGAATCTAGCAGAATATAGTATAACTTAGCATGACATAGCACAATAGAGCATAATAGAGTATAATGAAATATGGGTTAACGGAACATAGTTGCATCATGCAGTATCAGTCTTAGCACATTGGAGTAGAATATATCAGTAGAAAAACATAGTGTCATACAGTACCATGTGAAGCTGGGAACTGGGCTCGACTTCACCAAACATCTTGAACAAGTCACGAAGCATGTTCAACGTTGGCTTGGGTTTGGCGTGAATCTAGGGTGTAGTGCAAGTCCTGCACAGACAGGAACTGCCAGCTCAAGGCGCTGAAGGCTTTCGTGGCATGGACTCTAGCACTATCCTTCCTGTCATGCTCACCACGATCAGCATGATAGTCCTACACACACCCAGCTCGGATTTTTCCAGAAAGTGCATCCCGACAGCCGGAGCCCGTCTGAGAAATGCAACACATCTTGTGATTCTTACGACCCTTCACCTCACTGATCCCCAAGACAGAGCTTGGATGTCAAATATGTGTCCATGCGCTTCGAAGATTTGCTGTGGAACGCATTCCTACCAAAAGACTATCCTTTTGTTGTCTAGCACATATCGCTTAGACACGGATGAATAGTGGGGAAACCTCATCGAAATTAAGGTCGACCCCTTAGATGAGCGAAATCGAGCTCGCCTTGGTGCATGACCGGAGACAGGCCTGCCGCTTCTTCGGGGTTTAGGACTTTGGGTGTAGAGGTTCTTCGGCGTAGAGATCGGGTGCTTAGAACATCGGGTCTTCTAGTTTCGGGTTCCGAATTGTGTTTGTTCATGGTGAAAAGAACATGCTTCAGGTGCAGGTGGTTTTGCTCATGAACGATTTCTCATGCTCCTCATCCTCCTGCTACTACTCCTACTGAGCTGCGGAGCCAAAGCCCTGCTACTACTACTAACATTGCTATGCCAGGTGCTAATGTGCATCATTGCTGCCATCATCCCAGTAGGTCCAGCTTGAATCCGGCTGAGGGCTGCAAACCCGAACTGCTCCTGTCAACTGACGTTGACGTCAGCCATACACCACTAAGCGCACATTACGTGTTTGTGAATGGTAGTGGTCATTGTGATGTCACTGGTACATTGTGTAACGTACGACTAGCCGCTTCTGTCATGCTCATCCTTGTTTATGAACCGTTTCCTTTCCTTCGTGCTTCAATGAGGATGAACTAATTTCTGCGTTTGCTTCTCTTTGTTGCGGATTCGGGTTTAGTGGTTCGGGGCTTGCGGTCTCTGCATCGGCTTTTACCATCTACATACACAGCCCCGGGACTTATGATGAACTTATAAGAACTTAGGAAAACTTACGTTGTAAGTTTTTATAAATGACTTATAAGTTATTTTAAATTATTCTAAGTTTCAGAGGCCTTCCGGAAGCACTATTTTCAAGGCGAGCGTTTCTGGTCTC